TAGGTAGGGCTGGATGTTCGGGTTCGGGTTTATGGGTAACCCGGAATCGGACCAAAAATTCCGGGTTTTGGGTACCCGAGAACCGAAATATCATTGTGAAAATTGGGTCTCGGTATCGCATCTGGCTATTTTTTGGGTTTTGGGTAAACCGAACCCGGACCCGAAAAAAGAAGGACCCGAAGTGGAACCGAACCCCAGCCCACAGGCCAAATATTATATGGCCCAGCGGCCCAGCCCAGCCTTAAGGCCCTCGGCCCCCCCTCACTCCTCAGCCCGACCCCGACAGCCCAACCTTCATCAGCCTTCATCAGCCTAACGCCCTAACCCTAAGCTTCATCTTCCCCTTCGACCTTCCCATTCCCAGCGGCCACTCCCCACTTCCCTCTCGCAGAGACGCAGACAAAAACCTTCCTACAATCATCCTTCACCAAATCGCCGACTATCATCCATCAACAATCAACAAATCGCCGACCAACCTTCTGTCATCCTTCAGCAAGCATGGAACGAGCAGGTGGGAGGAAGAGAGCTGCTGTAACAGGTTGTCTTCGGTGGCTTATGGGTATTCGGGTGACCGAACCATACCCGAGAACCGTGACTTTGGGTCTCGGGTACCCAAGAACCGAGTCTGGGTCGGGTCTGGTTCCTCAAACTGACATTTTTTGGGTCCGGGTACCCGCGTATTTGGGTCCGGGTACTAGGACCCGAACCGATCTCCAGCCCTAAAATTAGGTTTTGGGTAGTTTTGAGTAAGAGACAACACCTGGGAAAAGCTAAGGAAAGAAGAATTCATTCAAGAGCCAAGGAGAAGATATGAAATCCCAAGGAGAAGAAGATGATTTCAACCATGTCTTCTCTTTCTATTTGTATCTCCTTTCTCTCTTTATGGCTTAAACTCCTATAGTTGTTTAGAGACGAATTCTAGTATGTAGCTGGGTTTTGTTCATTGAATGTAAACCGAAGCTTGATTTCTTATCTATCTATGTTTACTTTGTGTTTAATCTTTCCAATCTCTTGCTTCGGTAGATGTGGTTATTGATTGGTTCTTAACCTAGGCTGAGGTGACCATCTCTTAAGCTCTAGACTAGAACACACATCAAGCTTTGTGGATTTTGGATTACATGATCATTTAGTTAAAGTTCCATTTTCGTAGGAACCTTTCCCACCCGAGAGTCTAAACCTAATGCTCTAGGTACCTAGCTAGTTACATGATCATTGAGCTAGGCTAGTTTAAGAGGCCTAGAAGTGTGGCTGGGAGACATGATCATAACACCAACCACTAGACTAAGGGCTTTCTCACAACTTAGAAGATAGGAAAATCGTTCTAAGGCTTGGATCGATCAAATACTTGTCCTAATACTCGAAGTATTCCATCCTAAGTAACTACATCAAATCTAGCGAGGATCATAACTAGTTTGTTGTTGGTCTTTTGATAACACTTAAAATATTGGTTGCGACCTCGTGCGGGTTATTAAATCCCTTACACGGCTAGAACTAACTTGCCCATCTTGAGCGATGTATAACTCAATACGACATTGTTAGTATATTTGTCACCCAAGATGATTTCAACCATGTCTTCTCTTTCTATTTGTATCTCATTTCTCTCTCTGTGGCTTAAACCCCTATAGTTGTTTAGGGGAGACAAATTCTAGTATGTAACTAGGTTTTGTTCATTGAATGTAAACCTAAGCTTGATTTCTTATCTATCTATGTTTATTTTATGTTTAATCTTGCCAATCTCTTGTTTCAGTAGAGGTGGTTATTGCTTGGTTCTTAACCTAGGTTGAGGTGACCATCTCTTAAGGTCAAGAATAGAACACACATCAAGCTTTGTGGAATTTGGATTAAATGATCATTTAGTCGAAGTTCCATTTTCATAGGAACTTTTCCCATCCGAGAGTCTAAACTTAATGCTCTAGGTACCTAGCTAGTTACATGATCATTGAGCTAGTTTAAGAGGCCTAGAAGTGTGGTTGGGAGACATGATCATAACACCAACCACTAGACCAAGTTCTTTCTCGCAGCTTTGGAGATAGGGAAGTCGTTCTAAGGCTTGGATCGATCACATACTTGTCCTAATACTCGAAGTATTCAATCCTAGGTAACTACATCATCTCTAGCGAGGATTATAACTAGTTTGTTGTTGGTCTTTTAATAACACTTGAAATATTGGTTGCTATCTCATGCGGGTTATTAAATCGCTTGCAGGGGTAGAACTAACTAACTCATCTTGAGCAAAGTATAACTCAAAATGACATTGTTAGTATATTGGTCAACCAAGGTAGTATTCTGCGGGTCTTAATAGCCTAGGCTATTTCTCACTCGGTCGTTATCTTGTCAATCGGGTTTAGGTTTATTTTGAAGGACAAATGGAAACTGGTGGTTAAGAAAGAAGAGAAAAAGTTGGTGCTTCACCCTCACCCTAGATATTAGGTATACCATGAAAAGATAATTCCATCGGTTTGTGGGAAACAAGGTGCGAGACTCACTAATTGATATGACTCGAGGCTCGAACTCTTAGATTCAAAGGTTATCAAATTATGTAGCCAATTTTGATCTTCTAGATTTTCTGATTATCCTTGAACCAGAATAAAGGATAAGGGTGGAACATGATTGGCTCGGCCTCACTACAACTTCCCAATCGAAGGCCAAGTTTAACCAACGACTGGGTGTAGCATAGGGTAAGCAAGTAATAAAATTATCAAACCACGAGTCTCTAGCTGTACCTTACTTCAGCTTAAGGCTTCGTTATCTAGCCAACTTAGAATAACGATTAAGAAAATAATATAACGATCCACTATCCTAGCTAATTACAAGGTTGGAGCTCTCTTAGCTTGAATCCCCCTAGTTCCATCATTTGGACCGATATTGCAATACAATACATGAAGAACGCACTTTAAAATTGAATAATTGAGGAATTCATGATGATTTGTTTTGTAAGATCGATTTGAAAATATGTCATTGTTTATGTAAATATTAATAAAGTTCACTTTATGATTTTCACTCCAGACCCACATTGACTAAAATTCTGGCTACGCCACTGATTTTGTTTAGTGGTAGTTTTGTGTTTATATTGATATTGGTTTTGGGGGCTTGGTAACGTTTTTTTTTTTTGTTATATTGGTTGAGAGAAAATGTTTTTTTGTAGTGGTAGTGTTATTTATTCTAGTAGTGTTTTGTCAGGTGGATGGAAGAATGTCGTTGAGAAAAGTCTAACGGATGAATCTGATTGAAGGAAGTCTGTCAGAGGAAAGCAGAGATATGATCATTAAAGTAGAAGTGATAGACAAGAGACTTGAGAGAAAAATTGTAATTTTCAAGATGTAATTAATATGAATGATTATTAAAAAATATAAATTAAAATAATAATTAATAAATAAAATTTTGCCATTGTCCAAAAAGCCCTTGGTTTGCATTTGGACGTTGCAAACATTTTGCAGTGTAATGAGATTTCAGTTCCGAATTTAGTGACTGCAAACCAGAAGATTACAACTTAAGAATATCAGTGGACGGGGGACGGGACAAGAGATATAGCATCCAATCATTTGCACTTGTTCCCATTTGCAACTTTATACAGAATCATAGAAAACGCCAAGACTAGCATTAGGGGTGTAATTCGATCAATTAGAGGTTAAACCAACAACTGTTTAGCCGGTTATCAGTAAACCAATTAGCGCTAAGTGGCTAATCACTAGCGGTACCAGGTGCAATCGGTTATATCGGTTACAATCTCCACATACTTCTCTAGAGGCGAAATCCCGTCGACTCAAAATATTGTCCCCTGACGACAAGGATAGACCCACATGAAGATCTGCTAAAATTTCCGAAGTTGTTTTAATTTGCACCTCGTCGCTAATTTCACGTTTCTTGGCTATGTAAGTTGCGACCTGCTCGGATGTGTGAGTTTTGAGTATCAAAATGTCGATTAGGCTTCAATCTCGGTTAACCTATCGATATCGTTGAACTCAACAGTTACTGCAACCAATTACTGATTAACCGGAACAAGCATTATGCCTGGCAACTGTAACCGATTAACGGTATAACCAATAATTGTTGGCTACTGATTCGGTGACCGATCATACCATTAACCGGTAACAGAATACCAACCATATAGCATAGTTGTATGCCTTTACTAAAACATATATTTATTGAGATGTTGAATTCACCCAAGAGAAGAGACGTCTCGAATTCTAGTCCAGCCTCTCCAGAACGTTACAAATAGGGCCAGTGGCGGACTTAAGGCTAGTAAGGGTGTGTCGTCCGACACACCCTCGCTCGAGAATTTTGCGAAGAACCTACATATTTTTTGTAAATTTTTTTTATTTTGGGATAGCCGACACACCTTCAATAATTATAGCCGACACACTTTCATTATAGTCGAAGAATTTATTATCCAAATGAATCAATCTTAATCATAATCCTTTTTAATTATGTTTAAAATAACTCATAACTAATAATCCTATCACTTCCTATTAAAAAAAACAGACTCTCAGCCCATACAATATATATGTGTGATGTGTGTTGGGTCTGGGTCTATAATTACAAGAGAGAAAAAAACCCACAGGCCAAATGGCCAATAGCCATGCAAACACTCTTTATCCTTTAGTTTAATTGTTGTATAATTGGTGTTGACTTTACCTGTTGCAACTGCAAGCTGCGAAAGAGCATTTTCAGCTATGAAGATAATCAAGAACGATTTTCGAAATCGGTTGAGTGACCAATTTATGAATGATTGTTTAGGTGTGTATATTGAAAAAGATTTGCTTTGCAGTATAAGTGATGAATGTATTTTAGAGACATTTCAACAGATGAAAAGTCGTCGCGGTTCGTTTACAATTACTTTTAATTTCTACTTAATTTAATTTAATTTAATTTAATTTAATTTAATTATTATTCGATTTTATTGACGACATACCTCTCCGACAATTCTCAGTCTGCCACTGGATAGGGCGGGCACCCAGCCAGCAGGCGCCAAGATTTTGATGGACCAGACAACAAGAACGTGCAGAGATAATATAGTTAGTTCTCTTTATAACTTTCTAGGCAAGAAGTGAAACAATTGATTGACAAGAGGAAAAGATGATAGCAGTAATAGTATTGCAATTCCAGTGCCAGCAACAAGATTAGAGAAGCAAAGTTTGGGGGCATTTTATGAACCCAGGAGTGAGGAACCTCCTACTCACCCTACAAGGATGCGTACATACCTACTTCTTCCTGTCGCTCACCATGGCTAAGCTTTCATTAATTACTAACTATGGAGAAAACAAAGTTTGTTCACCAAAAGCAAAAGCTTCTCGTCTCAACATTTGGCTACATACTTTAACAATGATATTCCTTTGGTGGGATGAGCAAACATCATCCCGATCGGCGACAGAGTGTTTGGATCTTTGAGTAATGTTTCTCCAGATCCTCCTGTCCCTTAACCTGCAGAATCATTTAATCAAAACCAGAAAACTGTGATCAGAATCAATACGATCCATTTTTGATATTGTCAAATCCCGTGTTTACCACAGCTCGACAGCCTCACTACCGGTACGGGTGGTTTCACGATTCGTGCACCGAGGCAATGTGTTGCTTATGAAAAGTGAAAAAGGGACATGGCAGCATCGTTTAAGCCTTTCAGGCAGGCAGGCAGGAGGACAGAATAAACGAGAACAATACGGACATCTGCCACCCCAGATTTCAATGGGAGAAGTGAAATCTCAAAATAACGCACCTGCGGAATCATTTCGCTGGTCCCTCCCGCAGCAATTTGTGATCGCCATGCGTCTCAAGGGACAGACGCTGCTTCTCCATCGAGTTCCTCTCGAGCTCTCTCCACTTGTTGACGGCGATCGTGAACATAACTGCCACGGATCGGAAGAGGGGACGACGACAATCAGAGCAAAGTCCATTCTCGGCACCAATTTCGATTGGGAGAGATCAAACACACTACTATATTATTATAAACGGAGGAGATGACGGAGATCTACTTACATCCGGCGCCGGCGAAATACAGAAGACGGACGACCTTCGGTCCTGCGGGGCCTCCCTCTTCCATCGAAGTTGAGTCGCCGCGCGTAGGAGGGTTCAGCGCATTCGCCGCAGGTTGAGCTGAGCTTTTGTTTTTGGTTGGGGGATGGATTTGGATTTTGGAGGAAGCCGAATATAATATACAGAGGGCGTAGCGATCCGATTGGCTTCGCCCTTGGCCCATTCTTGTTCGGTAACCTAATTGAAGCCCATTATTGTTTGTTGGGCTCACGCTCTCACAAATCGGTTAATTGGCAATGGAAATGGCGCCACCAAAGACCAAACTCACATTTAGGGGTGGGCATTGGGTGGGTCGGGTGGATTTTGACCATAAAATGAACCCACTCGCGCTTAAACGGATTGATAATTTTTAACCCACCACCCACCCGCATTTAGTCTCGGGTTGGGTCGGGCGGATGGTGGATGATGCGGGTGGGTTTGTGGGTTCACCCACATCACAATGTATATAATATAAAGGAGTCAACTTGACATGATAATAGGTGAATGGAATCATCGAGGGAAACAAGTAGTTGAAATAGGGCGAAAAATGCCGAATTAGTTCTTAAATTGGATAGAAATTCTATTATGAAAGAGTTTTCTACAGATTGAGACGATTATTAGCTGCAAAGAACTAAGGAAAATAATTCCACAAAGGAAAGAGCGGTGATCTAGGCACAAGAATTAGATGAAAAAGTAAAGGGAAGAAGAGGGGATCTCTATTTGGAAGGTTGCCTTTGAGGTTCAAACTCAAGGAGCAGTCCGAGTTTATATCTAACGTCTCCACTCTCCTCTCTCTAGCGCCAACGACTTTGATCTTTTTGCTGTTGGGTTGAGCGGGTCACCCGCACACTCATCCACAACCCACCCACCACCCGGCGGATGGCTCCCAGCGCAACCCGTCACCCACCCACAAACCCACCCACTTAACGAAATTCGGGTCCAATGCGGGTGGGTCGGCCCAAATCCACGGATGATCTGCCCGCATGCCCAACCCTACTCACATTGGCCACTGAACTTGGAAGTTGGAAATTAGAGAGCATTTTCCATTATTTTCTATTTTTCTCTTTGGCATCTTAATTTTCTCATTTTTTCCTAACATGACATTAAACGTCAAACTAGTGCACTTTCAACTAAGTAGTAAGTAGGACAGATGAGACCATTTGGATGTTTGATCTGCCCAAAATTCATATCTACCCACATTTTGCCAAACAATTCTACATGCTACTACTCTCTTCCTTTTTTAAAAATGGAATTTCTCTCTTCCTACAGCGCGTCCAAGCTTGGATTAATGTAGTGCAGACAGCCATGGACAATGACAAGGCCATCCATCAGCCTTGTCTACCTGCTAGAACGGAGGAGTTGATCTCATGGCAGCCGCCTCCTCCTGAGTGGGTTACTCTCAACACTGACGGCTCCGTTCACCCTAAATCAGGCCATGCAGCTGCTGGTGGCTTGATAAGAGATCATCTAGGACGCTGCTTTGCGGCGTTCGCCATGAACCTCGGGATTTGTTCCATTACCCGAGCAGAGTTGAGAGGCGCTGTGGAAGGACTTCAGCTGGCCTGGGAGCTGGCCTACCGTAGAGTCAATGTTCAACTTGACTCGCGATGCGCAGTGGAAATTCTTCAACGGCAGCAGGATCATGATCATCGCCATACAGCTATTTCCCATCGTTTCCAGGAACTAATGCAGAAGGACTGGGAAGTCTCCCTCACTCATATCTATAGAGAAGGTAATAAGTGTGCTGATTATATTGCTAGTCGAGGTCATCAGATGCCATTGGGCTATAGCATATTTCCTACCACGGACACTACCCTTGTATCTTGGATTTTGTATGACACTTTGCGGCTCTCCGAACCCCGTCTGGTTATGAATGAAGACTGAGATGCTCTGCATCCATTTATAAAAAAAAAATTAATATCCTCACCAAAGTCCATCTTTCATCCCGACAACCAACATAAAAAGGATCTCAATCCAATATGACATTATATATGGTGTGACGTTATTCGGGTTATAAAGATTGATTGCACGCCCTAAATTAACTACCCCATCTTGAGCCAAGTATAACTCAAAATGGCATTGTTCATATAGTGATCGACCAAGGTCGTATTTCACGAGTTTCGATACCCTAGGCTATTTTTCACTTTGTTGTTATCTAGTCGGTTCGGTTTAGAGTTTTTTGGAGGTCAAATGGAAAGTACTGGTGGAGAAAGCCAGGATAAAAGCATGTACTTCGAGGTTCCACCTCGTCCTAGGTCTAGGACTATCGTGTAAATGGTTTAGAGTGTCGGGTTTGCGGTAATCAGGTGCAGGGCTCACTAAAGTGGGGATTTGTTCAATGGTTATGCGACTAATCCCCCTTATAGCACGATTCCTTGACCCAATGTCACCTCCATCAAGTTCAACATACCAGGGACGCGTTCTAGACCCTTTCAACAGGTTCAACCTATTTGCACACTAGATCGACACGTCGATGGTCACGCACACATCGCTCTAGCATTGCTTAGGAGGGCCACCCGATTGGAAGGGGATGGTCACCTCGTGCACCAATAAGTTCCCTAAGTTTTTACATCCATCTATCCTAATTAGCATTTCCAATGCACTCTAGATCATAAACTCCTGAGTGGCAGGCTAAATGAAAAGAGTTGGAAAGACAAGCTCATGCATAATTGATCAAAGATGAAGCATATAATCATTAAGAAAATAAATTCCATACACAAACACTAACACAATTCCATCCACATTCAAATACCTAATTCTAGTATTTGGGGGATTGAACCCCAAGTAACTAAGAGAAATAATACATAAAGGGGAAAGAAGATACATAGGAAGAAATAGAAGAAGTCTTGAATTGGGGGAGAGCTCTCTTGATTCTCGACTCCTCCTTATCTTCTTCTCCTTCCTTCAATTTCTCTATCGTGCTTCTCTATCCAAAAACCAAAATTCTCAAGTGATTTCTTCTTTCAAATGGGGGCGGGTGGAGTCCCCAATTTATAGTGATCAGGCTTCCAGCTATGTTCACGATTGAGAAGGCAAAGATCGCAGGCGTGAACTTCCGGGGCGAGCCCACAATCTCGGAGGTTGCCGATTTACTCCTTATTGGGTGTTGGGTTCGCGGCCAGACATCTCCGTCACGATCGGGGATGCTAAGGCTGTGAACTTTATCACGACCTCGGATAACCAAGACTCTAAGTCGACTATCGAATGGCTGTGAACTTAAAGACTTGAAGTCGATGATCAACTTCAATGTTGTGTAGCCAAGATCAGGGTGCTGATTAATTTTTGGTGCAGTGTAGCCCCGTTGTGGTACTGATTAGCTCCCTGGCAGTGTAGCCTCTATGTGGGTACTAATTTGTTCCCTTCACAGTGTAGTCGTGTTATTGTTACTGATTAGCTCCATGTCAGTGTAGCCGAGATATGTGTGCTAATTAGTTTCCCACACAGTGTAGTCGTGTTTCGTAGTGTCGCCTTTTTCATTCTCTGTGTTAGTCAATGGAAAAAAAGTATAGGAGTAAGGTCTAATTTGCCCGTGATAGCCGATGAAACAAATTGCCTAGGTAAATTCTAAATTGCTCGTGATAGTCGACGGAACAAGTCGAAAAGAGGGTTTAATTTGCTCATGATAGCCGAAGAAACAAATGGATTGGGTAAGTTTTAAACGGTCCGTGATAGTCGAGGAAAAGAGTTTAATAGGCCAAAAAGTAATTTGGAGGGTATGACAAGTTTATTATTTGTTGATCACAATGAAATACAGTTGTCCTAGATGTCACATGCAGGACGCTTCAATGCATTCTGATGCTGGTAATGACTGTGAGAATATAATGCGAGATAATTATGGGATGAGTCATGTTAATTAATAATAATGTCGTGTTTATGAAAAGTATTCAAAGGAAAGAGTGTGGTATGGCGGTATAGCCTGCATTTGGTTTCTGTGTGGCAGTATAGCTTGCGTTATAGTTTTTGTATGGCGGTATAGCTTGCATTTGGTTCTGCATGGCGGTATAGCCTGCATTGGGTTCTGTATGGCGATATAGCCTGTGTTGATTTTTTTGTATGGAAGTATAGCCTGCATTGGGTTCTGCGTGGTGGTGTAGTCTGGGTTAGTTTTATCTTGTTCCCATGGTGGTATAGCCTGATTTGGGGTCACCTTATTCCAGTGGCGGTATAGCCTGATTTGGGATTTTGTAGCGGTAGAGCTTGATTTGGGATTTTTATCAATGGCGGTATAGCCTGATTTGATTTTCTTGTGGCAGTATAGCCTGGTGTGAATTTTGTCTCGTGGCGGTATAGCCTGTTTGATCAATGTGTACCATTGTAGTGAAATTCGTGATGATATGTGAAAGTTTAACTCGATCACGAGTGGTATATTGCTTTTGTGCTTGACATGAGTTGTTGAAACAAGCAATTGGTAGAGACTTAAGTAGATCTTAGGTATGTGCCAAACTTGATTTTGGTAAAAATCGTTCGGGTTCATATTGATGAGAAAATGCAAGATGTACGGTATGATATGATGTAATGTTATGATGAGATAAGTTGCTGGAAGGATGTACTTGATTGATATTTACTGTCTATGAATTCCTTGAAACTAGTCATTTACTGAATGTAACACCCTACCCTGTACGTTTTACCTAATCATATTGTTCATAAAATTGCAGCGGAAAAAAAATCTCGAGTGTTACATTAATTATCAAAATTTACCCAAATAAAATTTCGACATGAATTACTCGCGTAATGGGCTAACAGTGCTTCCATCTAATCCTGCAAAATAATTGATCACCAACATATATACTCACAACCATATGCATTGGCTTTTCTTAGCCATAGCCACACTTTTCATACTCCACCACTGCACACCATACTTATACATACCATAATCGTCACAACTTACACAGTTACACAACATATACACATATCATCAACTTTCCACACCTGTGGATATCTCACACTACATCAGAAGCTAGTATGCACATGAAAAACGTTCTCAAAACATTTTTACAAAAAGGTGTGGATCACTGGCCAAAATCTCGAGTAGTAGACCAAGCACAGAATAGTTGAAGACCATACCTCATCTTGACTTATGCATATGCGTCTTATCATGTTTTACTT